AAATTGGATGTCTAAATCCATGTTCCTTCAAATCTCTGGTATTGATTATATCAAACATAATTACTTGTCGCATTTTCTTTAAATCAAAAATCCCAAAATTTCTACAGCTACGCGATTATGTCACTACCTACAAGATGGCAACAAGTTGTCGAACAGAATGGACCCATATATATTATAAAACATAAAAAAAACATAAACAATCACGCCTGTCACCCAGAGGGGTACGCAGAAACTACGGACTTCCATTTGGCGCGATCCTGACACACCTCTCTCGCCTCTTTTACATCCATATATCTACGCATACACGCTCGTCGGTTAAGGGTACTCCTAATCTGGCCCATTTTTAATGTATCGCCGATTTGGTCGATAAACCTTCGTCTAGGGCGTCCCTTCCCGACCCTGCCGTTCACTTCTGCAACATAAATTTGCTTTGTCACTCTTTCCTCGTTCATTCCTTGTCACAACGTCATCTTGCAAACCACACTTTTCTCTTATCACACTATTTCTCTCAGTTCCCAACATAAATTAAACAAGGTGTACAGTAGGCCTGCAACCACACCCTCACCAGCCCTTAGCATTTCGAGTGATACTCTATCATATCCGGCTGCCTTACCTGCTTTCATGCTTTTCATTGCTTTCATTATTTCATCTACACTTATCTCCCTACCTCTCTCCACTTCTTCCGGAATTTCTATTTCACTTATTTTAGACGACTCTTCACTCTTAAACACGCTTTCAAAGTATTCTTTCCATCTCTTTAAATTTGAAACATCATCATTTAGCATGCAGCCATTCTCGTCTCGTATAGCATTCATTCTAGGCTGTTTTGAATTTCCCCTGGCAGTTCTTACGAGCTTCCAGAACATTTTAATATTTTGCTGGAAGTTATCAGATATCCTTCTATCATTTTTATCTATAATTTCTTGCTTTTTCCTTTCAGCAACTTCTTTTACTCTCTTATTTATACGTCTAAAGTCTGCCTTTTTTCTTTCAATCTCATCAATTATACCGCCAGAATTACCAGCTTTAGTTGCTAGTAAATCTAGCCATGCTCTCTTCTTTGCTTCAACTTCCATCCGTACCTCATCATCCTACCACAACGTATTACTTTTCCTTTCATTAGTTCTCTTACTTACATCACATACTTCGGTGGCTGCATCCACCAAAACTTTCTTAATATTATTCCATACATTCTTCAATTCTAAATCATTCATACATAATTCATTCAACCCACTTATATTTTCCCTCAGTCTGCATTCATACTTCTCTGTTACACCTTCATCTTGTAACCTTTCTTTTCTTATACGCTGTAAGGCAGTGGTAGACACAGATGTCCGATGCCGCCAACGTCTGAATAGACCATTAATTCGGCATAAGACCAAGTAATGATCCGTCCCTACGCTGGATCCCCGGTAAACCCTTTTATGTACCACTGCGCTCCTCATTCTTTCATCCACAATTATAAAATCTATCGTGCTTCTATCATCCCCTCTTTCCCATGTATACATGTGAATCCTTTTATGGCGAAAGAAAGTGTTCGCCACAAAAAGATTCTTTTCCACACATACGGTGAGGAGGTCTTCACCATTCTCATTTATTCTTTCATCGCCCCACGTTCCTAATATCCTTTCATAACCAGACCTCTTCACCCCAACCCTTCCATTAAAATCTCCTAACATAATATGTTATAATTAAATGTAATAAAACTTTAAAATAAAAACGTCTTGAATTTGTATAAAAAATACGAAGGAACTTTCTCCCCGATTTAATATACTAAGTAAAGGTGTAACAAAATAGTACTCGATAACTTAGAGAATGATTCTGCCTGTCAACATGAACAATGTTTATTATGGGATTATCTTCGAAATTTATACTGCAGCTATATTACTGGTATAGTTGTAGCATGAATGGGTCACCTCGAACGGGGAAGAACCACGCTCTTACAGAATAGCAGTGTCAAATAGCAACTTAACGCTTAACGCCGTTTTTTTAGAAACGAGGTATTTCATCTTAGTCCTCAGGGGCTGCAACGCATTTGCATTTTGATTCTTATTAGATAGATGTAAATGTCTATCGACCACAGCAACCACTAACCATCAGGTGGAATGTGTGCTCGTTTGTCACCCTGATCCTATAAAGAAAATCTCAAAGTCAGTTAATCCATACAAAATGCCGTACAAACTTATTCAAAATGTAGAAAAAGAAAAAGCAGGTCTTCCAGACCTGCTTTTTCTTACGATTACGAAAATAGATCTATAAAAAAAAGTTGTTCATATTGACACGTAGAATAGAAATAGAAAGCGCTATTTTGATTACACCATATATATAACAATTTTTTTAAGTAATTTGTGAATATTAGTTAGACATGTAAATAAAAAAATTAAACTGATAAAAATGACGCCATTTATATGTCATTTATTCCTAAGAAAAACCTTAACTACTCAGCCATAGCATAAAATAAATTTTCCCGTTAATCGGTTAATAGTTAAACTGCTGGTATATGCAATTTTTCACGCACACTAGCATCCTTGCAAATTGTCTTATACACGCTACAATATTGAGTTGCCGCATTCAAGGAGCGGTTACTTTCAGGTAGAGCGTTATCTAGTCAGAGCACGCTATGATTTATCAATAATCTAAGTGCCAGATCATAGTTTTTTCATAAGCCTACAAAATGGCTTACATACTCTTATTTATTTATTTATTTATAATTAATTACAACGGCTTGCGCCAATTACAGTAATTAATAAGTAAAACTAAACATATAACATAATTAAGATAATTCAAAAACAAATAACAAGTCAGAGATTAAATATACTTAACAATAACTAGAGGAAATAAAATAATATAAAACAGAATAAAGTGATAACAACATACAACTTATTTACTTAACAAACATGGCTTTCACATAACATGATGATCACCTTGAGTGTGTAATTAAAGATGTCATATTCTGGGTCTGTCTCCATTAAGGAGTTTATAGCACCATGCATGCGACACAGCGGGGATTGCGCGCGCGACACAGTGCGGCAATGGGACGTGGCGAACAGCCGGTGTCGTCGAGTAGGCCTATGACGTAGGTAGTTGTTAGGCACATAAAGTGTACACAAAGTATTGTGCAGCTCTGGGGAATCGACCATGCTCCTTAAAATTTTTTGGCTATTAGGATCTGATCTATGGCTAGTACAAGTCTACAAGTCTCGATTTGATTTCTCATTCTTCTTACGCTTCACCTTCCGCCTTGTGGTCTTTATCGATTCAAATAATAAGCTCTTTGCACATTTGATTTCGTCTGTGGAGAATTACGTAGAATAAATACGCAAAATAATCTCTTCGTCCATGACGTCATCTTATTTTGTATGAATGCCAGGAGTTCACAAATAACTATATTACAAATACTGCACTTCACTTTATTTGACATTATTGCAACGTCCTAATTTTTCTTTTTGTTCAAAATCAGTTTAATAATATCTAAAATTTCGATAAATACACTAAAAATACAAATTATAAAATTTTATTTCTGCATTTCATGACAGTGACATTTTTTGCTACGATAAATGTTGTTAAAACAAATATATAAATCAAATACATAAACAGAAACAGAAACTTTTTTATTCAATATAGATTTTAAATTATTCTTATTGAAAGTCACTCTTTTGTTTTATTACCACTGGTTCTAAAAAAACCCTCTTCCCTGGGATGAACCAGCAAGAATCCCAGCGGAACTTTTTTTTAATAACAGCTTGCAATCATACATGTTACACAATTAACCACACAAAACAAATTAGAAATAGCTTGGTAGCGATCACCTCATTCGCAGGGGTTATTATCATCCATAAATTCCTTAAAATTATACTAATCCTTTTGATACAAACTTTTTTAATAACGTTTTTGAACATTGAGTAGGTCAAATTTTTTGTGATTTTCTTGTAAAGCATGTACATCGCCCTAAGAATGAATTACTAACTCGGTGGGGTCAAGTAACTGGTACTACTAGCTAGTGTCTATTTCTAGTATTTACATAATTAATATCACTTATTTTTGTATAACTACTTTTATTTTTGTGTAAGTACATTAAATTTTCATAAATGTATTGAGAAGTCAAAGTTAATATATTCATTTCCTTTAATTTTTGTCGGAGTGACTGTTTAGCTTTTCTACCAACATCAAGAAGGAGACGGTATTCAATTCGACTTTATATTTTTTTTTTATGTGTGTGTTACTTCATAACTTTTTACAGGGTTAACTGATTTCAATGATTTTTTTTATTTGAAAGCTGGTTATTTACATGTGGTCACCTATAAATTTGATTAAGGTTTGACCAATATTTCTTAAGTAATTTTTTTTTTAATTTTTAATTATAAATCATAGATTGATCTTAAGACCCTTCTTCTGTAAAACAAATATAATTTCAGAGTGAGTGGCGTGCCCCCATAGCAAAATACCATACAAAATTATGCTTTTGGAAATAGCGAAAGCAAACTAGTCTAGCTGTTTCAATACTGGTAAGATTTCTAATCTTTTTACAGCATGTGCTGCAGAACTAAGTTTTCTTGCTAGTTTTGATGTATGGGGGCTCCATTGAAACTTTGCGTATAGTGTTGTTTCAAGAAAAATGAGTCAGTTCCTGTCCATTTAATATTAAATTTTAATTTAAATATTTGACATTTGGTGTCACGAAAATCATACCTTTCGTTTTAGGGCAATTTAAATGCAAGTTATTAACATTAAACGAATTTAGTAATTTAGGTAATATATCACTATTTACTACGTAATATTTTAATAATTGTTGTTGTAATTTAAAAATAATAAAGTGTCAGAAAATAATACTATATTATGGTTATCACCTACTATGTAAGTCATTAATATATGTAAAGACCCAAGGAAAGGCGTCAATCAAACACAGGACTGCGCGGCTGACTGGTTTATTCTCCGAACGTGTTATTACAGTTTCCACAATTACCCACTATTTCTATAATAAAACCTTACATTTTCCCCCTTCAAATCTTTGCATTTCTCTTATTACGGTTAAAAGCACGCAAAGCTCGCGAAGACGCGTCGGGTCCGGGCGGCGTCAGTGTCGGGGACTGTATAGGTTCAGAGAAGGGCGCTGACGCGCGTGTCCTCGATGCTGTCGGCCCACCCGACGCGTCCTCGAAACAAGCCCCCTCGTCATCACTACAGACCACATCAGTTTTATTACCATTTCTATCTTCACCCTGGGATTCCTCCTCCCTTGATGTCTGACTTGTGCGCGTTAAGGAATATCTATTTTTATTTTTTATTGGAATTACTTGATCCAGATGCCTACGTAATTCAATTCCCTTTCCAATGTTCACCTTACATGAGACTGGGCCCGTTTTACACACGACTTTACCCTCGGCCCACTTTTCTCCCCTCGCGGTATAGTCACGAGTCAGCACGGGATCACCGGGTTGTAGGTCGTGGTCGCGGTGAGTGCCGCCGGCCGCGGCCGCCTGGCGCTGCTGCGCGGCGCGCGCGACGCTCGCAACGTCCGGGCGCATCGCGTCCAAGCGCCCGCGCAGCCGCCGCCCGAGCAAGGCGACCGCGGGAGGCACTCCTGTACTCGCGTGTTCGCAATTCCGATACTTAAATAAAAATATGTTGATAGCCTGTGTCACATTTTTACCTTTGTGAACCGCCCTTTTAATAACTTTTTTAATTGTTTTGCCCGCATTTTCCGCGGCGCCATTACCTTGTGGTCTGTAGGGTGCCGTGGTAACATGTTTGATACAATTCATATTACAGTAATTTTTGAAATCGTGCGATAAAAAAGGTGGACCGTTGTCCGTGACGAGTTGCGAAGGAAGCCCGAATCTGGAAAAGATGGCTCTGAAAGCTGCGATTGTCGATTGTGCATTTGTACTATTCATAGTGGACACTTCAATCCATTTAGAATGAGCGTCCACTATGACCAGATATTTTTTTCCAGCATATTCCGCGAAATCCGCATGTATACGATGCCAGGGCTGAAGTGGAAACTCCCACGGGTGAATCGAAGCGTGCGGTGGCGCGTCGCGGACCACCCGGCATGGCTCGCAATTTCGACATACCTCCTCTAGATCCTTATCGAGACTAGGCCAGTAAACGTAGTTTCTCGACAAATTTTTCATTTTATTAACACCTAAGTGGCCATCGTGAATCTCCTCCAAAACTCGTGTACGTAGTTTTGGAGGTATAATAAGTCTATACTTGAATAGTAAGCAACCGAGATCCGTAGTGATCTCGCTCTTACGCGCAAAATACGGTTTTTCTTCTTCGCATCTCGCCTCGGGCGGCCAACCGAACATTACATATCCTAAAATTTTACATAACAGATTATCTTTTTTTGTTTCATAACTAATTTCCTTAAAATCTACGGGCATACACTCCTCTACGATATTTAAATAACTCACTGACGTAGTAAGGCCCCGCTCGTGAGGCAACGGCAGGCGAGATAAGGCATTTGCCGGCCCGTTATTCTTTGAAGGCACGAATTCTACGGAAAAATCATAGGCTGCAAGACGGGCTGCCCAGCGCTGTAAGCGGCTCGCAGCAGTTTGTGGTATACCTCCTCGCACCCCAAATATATAGCTCAGCGGCTGGTGATCCGTACGCAAAACGAACCTCCTGCCGTATAAATACTGGTGGTGTTTAGTAACCCCATAAAATATAGCTAGCGCTTCTTTATCTAATTGACTATAATTACGTTCAGCTGTGTTCAGAGTTCGTGAAACACAGCTGACAGGCCTTTCACTGCCATCTGGGTAGCGATGCACGAGCACCGCACCCAAACCGTACGCGCTGCTGTCCACTGCCAGCACGAGCGGACGCCCCTCCTCATAATGAGCCAGCACCCGGTCACTCGTTAACACTCGCTTAGCCTCTGCAAAGGCCCGCTCACACTTTGAGTCCCATTTCCAACTCACTTCCTTTTTTAATAATTCATATAGAGGATGTAACAGAACGCTTAAATTTTGAATAAATTTTCCGTAGTAATTTAATAATCCAAGGAAACTTTTTAACTGAGTTATATTACTAGGAGTCGGTGAGTTGCAGATGGCCTCTAATTTTTCCGGATCCGGGTGCAACCCATTTTTGTCTATTATAAAACCTAGGTACTTAACCCTGGGTTGTAAAAAACTACATTTATTCATTTTAACTGTTAAGCCCATATTACGCAACCGTTCAATTACCGTTTTTAGATTTTTAAAATGTAATTCTTCATTCGGGCCTGTAACACAAATGTCATCCAAAAATACTACTGTCCCGGGTATACCCCGCAGCGTTTCTTCCATAAGTTTTTGAAACTTTTCGGGAATACAGGATAAACCGAAGGGAGTGCGGCGATATACGAATGTTCCTATATGTGTAGTTATTGCAGTGTATGGTTGGGAATCTTTGCTCAGTAACACTTGTTGATATGAATGTCTCAAGTCAATTTTCGAAAATTTCACTCCACCACTTAGGGAAGCAAATAATTCCTCAATCCTGGGCAGAGGATAATAGTCCCGTTTTAGTTTAGGGTTAATAGTTATTTTGTAATCCCCACATATCCGTATATCCCCACACTCCTTGACAACTGGTACTATCGGCGTACCATATTCGGAATGATCGACGCGATAAATAGTGCCCTCTCGCTCGAGACGTATGAGCTCTTGCTCAACCCTCGCGCGCAACGCGAGAGGTACGGGCCTCGCGCGAACATACACGGGTTCCTTATCCGTCAGCTCTAATTGAATAGTTTTTTTACAAGTACCCAGTTTATCAGAAAACACCTCCGGAAACTCAGTCAATAATTGACTCGTGAATGCATCATCAACAATTTCATTAAAGTTAATTTGCCTTATATTTAGAGCGTGCATCCATGCTCGACCTAACAAAGGACGGCCTCCGTTTTTAATAACATACAGTTGTAAATTTTTAGCTCGAGTCTCACCCAGTTGTACATCGACATAAATGTAACCTAGCGATTCGATACGGGAGCCCGAGTAGCAACGTAATATTAGGTTATCGACATTTAATGATTTATTTGAAAAGTACCGTTTATAAAAATCTGCACTGATAGCCGAAATACGGCTGCCCGTATCGACCTCACACTCTAGACGATGACCGTCTACATTAATTATAATGAAATATGGTTTGGTACCTTTAGCCGACAACTTAATGTTATAGCAGTCCTCATCTTCTTCCGTATCCACCTGGTTCACCAAATTTGGTCGACCACACGATCGAGCTCCGGTACGTAGCCCACTGCGCACTTCACTGAACACCTTTTTACACATTACTTTAAGGTGGCCCCGTTGGCCGCACTGATCACAATTATATTGCGCAAACCGACACCGATCTGACCGGTGCTGCTTGCCGCAGCGCCAGCAGGCCGCCGCGCCGCCGCCGCTGCCGCCGCGTGCGCCTGCTCGTTGCGCGCTCGCCCGGTGCAAGCCCTCGCTCACCTCGCCGCCCAAGCCAGAGGCCGAGGTAGACGCCATCGCTGTTGTGGCGGCGCTCACCTCCGCGTGCTTTTCTGCAGCCTCAAGTGCCAGAGCCAGCTCGACCGCCTCTTTGTATTTGATATTTTTCTCGGCAAATATCCGCGATCGCATCGCTTCACTCGATAGGCCGGACACGAATTGATCTCGTAGATTCTCCTCCAGCGCCTTCCCGAAGTTACAGGTGGTTGCGAGATGTTTTAAATTATGCAGGTACTCCGTAAGTGACTCGCTTGGTCGTTGTCTGCGCAACCGAAATACGTGTCGTTCGGCGATTTCCGACCGCTGAGGTTCAAAATGTTCGGTCAACAATTGCACCAAATCCTCGAAAGTCTTTGATTCGGGATGTACCGGCGAGCACAAATCACACATTAGAGAATACGTTGCCTCACCAACCACAGTTATTAAGAGAGGTACTTGCAGTTCATCTTTAATTTCGTTCAGTATAATACACTGTTTTACCCGTCGTATGTACTCCGGCCACTGTGTAGCATGAATGTTGAACGGCTCAAGTTTTCCGATCGGCATAGTACCTATTTACATATAATTTACTCGTCACGTATATAGTTTACACGCCCCAAATAATATTCGTGGTACCCACTCGTCGCCAGTGTAAAGACCCAAGGAAAGGCGTCAATCAAACACAGGACTGCGCGGCTGACTGGTTTATTCTCCGAACGTGTTATTACAGTTTCCACAATTACCCACTATTTCTATAATAAAACCTTACAATATACACAAAAAATCAAATGGGGCCGATAATTAAGCCTTGAGGCACGCTATTATTAATAACAAGCTTTTGCGGTCTGTTGTAGAAATATAAAATAATTAATTTAAGAGCATTATTCTTACACCGTAGTATTGTTGTTTCCTGACTAATGTATCATGGTGAACATAATCGAAGGCTTTGGATAGGTCATAGAATATACTCAAAGCATTCTGTGAATTCTCCCATGCATTGAAGATATATTTAATCAGCTAAGCACCAGAATCAGGTGTCAAGTGACCCCTCGTAAAACGAAATCAATTTTTATGAAGTTAATTATTTACATTACATTTGATCATGAATAGTTTTTTCAAAAGAATTACTAAGTGTTGGCAGTAAAGAAATTGATCTAAGATTGGCTTGGACTAATGTACTACCAGATTTAAATAAAGGTATTACTTTACTTAAAGGCCGGCAACGCATCTGCAATTCCCTCCCTGGTGTTGCAGTTGTTCACGGGCGGCGGTAGTCACTTACCATTAGGTGAGCCGCATGCTCGTTTGCCCCCCCTCATATAAAAAAAAACATTTCATTAAATCAAGGAACACACCATTCGATACTAGTATTAAAATAATAGCTAGTTGAGACGCGAGTATATCTATTATAGACCCAATAATTTTAACGAAAATCCCCCCCAGATCTGCAGTTTTCTTAACCGGTTCACGCCAGGCGTGCCATCGATTATTTTTGTGTGGCGTATGATACGCGAGTTTTGTCTTTTTAACAATTGTTATAACTCGCTCAAATTACGTTTTTGGAAGATTTATCCAGAACAAAATATTCATTCTTTTGCAAGTAGTTCATGCCTACAGCGTATTTTCTGGATATTTTGAAAATTTGAAATTTTTAGGGGTTGACAACCTTTTTTTTAACTTTTACATGGTACTCTTTTTACTTTGTGGGTTTTAAATCATGTTGTGGAAAAATAGTCTAATAAGTAACAAATAATAGCACTCATTGCGATCGCTCACAATTTCAAGTTGTAATAAATTTCTGGAAAACAAATCTCCCGTTAAAAAAAACAATGCGTTTGCCTTCTTGTTTAATTTTGCTTAAAATGGTTAAAAATTGTTTTATTACTATCACATGGCCGAATAGACCTACGAAGTACCATGTGCTCTTGTGATATGGTATAAGGTTTATTTTTGTTTGAAACAGTTCGAAACCGTTCATGCATAAAAAAAGTTCGCTAAAAAATAGTATTTTGTCAATAAGCCGCCGTACAGCGCCGTCGTTTTTTTTTTTCTTTTTTGCTATTCTTACTAATTAGACATTTTCAGATCGATTTTACTTTTACATTTATATAATATTAAATAATATTTAACATTTGTAAATATCAATGAATCATAAACCTTATTTTTTTCCAAATTAAGGTTCTTGATTGTTTGATATTTACAAGTTTTGTTATTAGGTGAAATTTTTTTAATAAAAACCAAGGTTTTCCAGGGTGATTTAGCTGTACCTACCTATATAAATGATTTTTTTTATAAAACAAAAAATAGTACAAAAGATTTGTAATCTCTGTATAAAAAAGGTTTTTATTCTGCATAATCTTTACTTACTCTCAATTTCAAAGAAAACACGGAGAAAAACACGTAGCTACCCACTAAAAACAGGTTTCTTCCGTTTATAACTGATGTTTGATGTCAATTAAACTTAATTAGGTCTAAACAAATGAAAAAAGCATAAAAAAGAAAATTATTTTTACACATGGCTAATGGCACAATAGGCGTGTCATCAACTTCTGTGGTGATGTTAAAATATTTTACATTATCTTTTCATGATATTTTATAAAATTTAAAATTCTTTGTACACGAATTTACATTTTATTTAAGTAATGATTCAGCGACAGCAAGATAAGATTTTGTAGTTCAACACGAGTTGTAGATTCATATATATTTGAATAACTACCTTAAATATAGTTATCAGTTGCCACGAAAACTTGAAAGACAATTACCCACTGAAGTTGTCGCTTTTATGTGTCAGTTCTTATACTATAATTTATTCTTTGGTGTTAGTAACAACTTCATGGTGTCATTTTTAGGTGTCGGTGTGCGAGAGCATCGTAAAAATTCACTCTTATCATTTTTCCCAAACCCCCCAAAAGAATTATAACTTCAAAAATAATTTTGTAAGATGCAATAAACAAGTCGCTACGTGCTATTTTAAAAAAAGAGATAAAAAGGCATTATTAATACACATCGAATTCAGATTCCATTAAAATGCTAATAGTGTTAAAAATGACAATTTAATTGATTATGAAATATCAGTTTCTCGACAAATCCGTAGTTTTCATTGGACACACTTTTCTTGCTTAAAATTACGATATAAGTCTGTATTTTTGCTAAATTCCTACCCTATTTTTTTTTCTTTTATTTTACATGTTGTAATGCCTACATATACGGCATAAGCACCGACAAACATTGCCTCATTACGGACAATCTCGGATGATACATCCTGTGAGTCATCACAACAGTGCAGACTTTTTTTATCAAGGGCGTTAATTTTGGTCTGAGGCAATCTGAGTACGCCAAAGGTAAACATGTGAACGGGCATTACTTAACCTAATAAGTCTAAGCCCTAACCTAATAAGTTCACGTTAGTGAACTTACCCTCTTCCAAATTGAGAACTCCACGCTTATCCGTCTCCAGTTCCATCCTAATAGCTAAAATCACAAGTGATGTTTAGTGAATTTCGTATCATGGGTGCAATTTCAGACGAATAACTACAGATGATTATTATAGAAAAAGTGCATCAACTTTATCTCTCTTTTTCAAAGCTGAAATTATTTTCCAGAGCCATCCATTAATATACTAAAAGAGCTCAGAGAGAGGCAGAATCAAGGCGGGCTCAAACAAGCTCCCTAGGATATACCCCTTTATATTCTTATTGGGTTTTCTGCATCCGTCATCATCTCGCCTAGATGACAAGTGATCAGACACCATTAGTCCGTACACTACTCGAGTCTCTTACCGTACTTTTCATTATTTAGCTTGAAGACCTTCTTTAGTCATATATGTTGCACTAAATCGAATGCCTTTCTATCTATCCAGTCGTCGGAGTAGTAAAAATGACTTCAATTAAATGCGATAAAATTCGTAAAATAAATTTCATTAAGTGTTTTGCATTAGAGTTAATATAACAAATCATTGTACTCGTAATATAGATTATTTTAATTGGTTTTGTGTATATTGCTTGAAGCTATTCGAAGAAAATCTTGATAAGCGTGAAGGAAATCTTTTCCGTGAAGAAGAAATTCCACACCAAATGCAAGTAGAAAATTCCAAATACTCGTCTTACTTAAATCGTGACTTTGCAAGTTAAGTAAGAATTTATTGAACATCTGCCTAAATACAGTATGCTACGTATATCTCTTCAAAATTAAATTAGTATTGAAAAAACATCTTCACTGTAACGTAATAAATTAAGATAATATATAATTAGATAAACGTGTTCATTGATTCATTATCAACAATTGGAAATCAGAAAAACTTTATTAAAGTAGCTAACTTTAAATAAAAGCGGCCAAGTGCGAGTCGGACTCGCCCATGAAGGGTTCCGTAGCAGCAAGTAACATATCATCATTCTCTAAACCATTTCCCATTATCTGGGGTCGGCGCAGTAAATCTTTTTGTTCCATTCCTCTCTATCAGTCGTCATTTCCATACTTACTCCTTTTATTCTCATATCACTCTTCACACAATCGATCCATCTTTTATTCGGCCTTCCTCTGCCCGTGTGTCCCTCCACATTCATATTCAACACTCGTTTTGTGACATGACTTTCATTCCTCCGAATCACATGCCCAAACCATGCCAATCTGCTTCGTCTCACCTTTTCTACCACTGGCGCTACTTTCAGGCTTCCTCTTATATACTCATTCCTTATCTTATCCATCCTTGTCACACCACACATCCATCGTAACATTCTCATTTCATTCGCATGCAGTCTATTTTCATCCTTCTTCTTGACGGCCCAGCATTCACTTCCATACATGACGACAGGTCGGATGATCGATTTGTAAATTTTCCCCTTCAGCCTTATTGGCATTCGGGGATCGCACGTTGTGGCTGTGACCTGTCGCCATTTCATCCACCCTGCGTTAATCCTATGCTGCACAGCTCTATCTATTCCGCCGTCGCCTTGAATGAATGAGCAGCAAGTAACATAATTTACGATTTATGACGTTTTAAAAAAACTACTTACTAGATCTCATTCAAACCAATTTTCGGTAGAAGTTTACATGGTAATGTTCATCATATATTTTTTTGTTTTATCATTCTCTTATTTTAGACGTTACATCGGGGGGGGGGAGGGGCACACATTTAACCACTTTGGAAGTGTCTCTCGCGCAAAATATTCAGTTTAGACAAAATGATGTAAGAAACATCAATATCATTTTGGAGACCTATCCATAGATACCTCACATGGGTTTGATGAAAAAAAATTTTTGAGTTTCAGTTCTAAGTATGGGGAACCCCTAAAATTTATTGTTTTTTTTTTTTCTATTTTTGTGTGAAAATCTTAAAGCGGTTTACAGAATACTACCAAGTTTCAACAGTATAGTTCTTATAGTTTCGGAAAAAATGGCTGTGACATACGGACGGACAGACAGACAGACATGATGAATCCATAAGGGTTCCGTTTTTTGCAATTTGGCTACGGAACCCTGACAAGGGAAGATAACAAAGTATCAAAAGCTTTAGCTTTACCCGCGTTGAGCAATTTTTGGTAGTGGAAGCACTTATGGGTTCGCATGCC